ACCAAGAACACCCCATCAGAGAAACAAAAGCAGATGATCAGAGATGATGACACTCAAGAATAAATGGCCAGGTGAAGCAATCATTATGGGTATGGGGTCCAGGTTAGAAAAAATAGGTCTCACCCTGCTGTTGTAAGTCTTTGAATTTGAGGATAAGGGATCAGGTGCAACAGAAAGAGAAGAAAATCCTATCAGATTCTTCTTGAATTTAAATTTAACCTGCGTTTCATCAAAAAAAAAAAAAATGCAAGCAAGAGAGGAAGCTGAAGGGATAGGATGGAACTAGAGGAAGAGAAGACAAACGTGTAACATGACCACATATAGTAAAGTTTAAGAACTATTCATCTTTGTTTTTCTTTCTTAGGAGACAGTGACAAGTGGGAAAGCATCTAAATAAAGCAAATTGCTTGACATGAGTAGGTAATCTATCACTGGAAGTTTTCAAATGTATAAATGTCACTTGAATCTGATATTTCTCAGTGTTAATTGTTATTGTGCCTTTTACAGAATTATATTTATTCTGGAAACAAATCAAATGTTAGTTTAAGTGTTATCTTAAAAAGAACTAGTAGTAATGATCAAAAGCCTTCAAAAGTCATTAAAAAATGCTTAAGCAAATATAACCACTCATAATATTCTTTTTAAATTTTCTTTCAATCAAGCAGACTAGTACATTAAAGGAACCTGTGCTTGTTACCACTAGCTTTGTAGTTAATGTTAAAACGACAAACTTTTCTTATGCATCATTACTACTTCACTTAATCAAACACCATATTACTTTGAACCACATTAACAACATAGTTTACATATATAACAAAACCCAATGACAAGTTATATTTGAGTTTTTAAATAAACTTTTAGACACAGTCTAGAAGTGCATCCATTAATTACATTATAAAATTAATAATCAGAATCTACATTTTCCAGGTTCTATACTTATGGGGTATCAGTAGTGTGAGTATATCTTTATATCTTGTTTACCTTTCCTACAGAAAAAATATACATATAAAATTTGGGAACATGACAGACTTATTAAAAAAAACAAAAGGATTATCTGAAAATGAGTAGCACCTAGTGAACACCAACCTCTGCTCTGGTTTAATTCTTCTTTTTCCTTCTCCTAAACTTGACCTTAACATTCCCCTTCCCTTGCTTCCCACCACAGCTCAGATAAGAACTCCTCTGCTGCTTCCACCACTCAGAGTTGATGATGCCATTACATTTAACTACCACTTCCATGCAAACAATATTAAGTCTGTATTTCTAGCACTGATCTCTTTGATAGATGCCTCAGTTCTACGACCGCTTACCTGACATCTTTATCTTGGAAGTATTATAACAAAATGATTAAACAAACAGTCTCTACTCAGAATGTCTAGGTTTAAAATTCCACCTCCGTTTATGAACTAAACAGAGCTTTAGAGAATTCATCTGTAAAACACACACTGCTTCACCTATAAAACAGGTATAAAAATGGGATCTACAATTCACTGATGGCTACAAGAATTAAGCTAGATAATAGCCAATTCATGTAAAGAACTTAGAACAGTGCCTGCCACACAGAAAACATGCAAAAAATGGGATCTACAATTCACTGATGGCTACAAGAATTAAGCTAGATAATAGCCAATTCATGCAAAGAACTTAGAACAGTGCCTGCCACACAGAAAACATGCAGTAAAGGTCAAGTATATTTATTACCTTATTAAAATATCTAGCTGTGACTTCAAATAAAGCATGTTTAAAACCAAAACACATCTTCCCTCAAAGTGAACTCTCTTTCTGGAATTCATTGTTCCACTCTAGCTAAAGACCTTGGAGTCATCTTCAACAACACTGAAAGTGTAAAGAATTCTTCCTTCTCACATACCAATGGCCAACAGGCATATGAAAAAAATGCCCAACATCACTAATCATCAGAGAAACGCAAATCAAAGCCACCGTGAGATATCACCTCACCTCAGTTAGAGTGGCTATTACCAAAAAGACAAAATAACAAATGCTGGTGAGGATGCAGAAAAAGGGAAACTCTTATGCATTGCTGCTAGGAATGTAAATTAGAAATGTAATTAGGAATGTATATTAGGAATGTAAATTAGCTATGGAAAACAGTAGGAGATTTCTCAGACAACTACCGATAGATCTACCATACAATCCAGCAATCCCACTACTGGATGATTTCCATTCCTTTGGATATATACCACGTTGAAGGGACACCTGCACTCTCATGTTTATCATAGCTCTATTCATAATAACCAAGAGTCAGAACCAACGTAAATGTCTTTCCGCAGATGACTGGATAAAGAAAATGTGGCATATATACACAATACTACTCAGCCATAAAAAAATAAATAAAATTCTACCATTTACAGCAACATAAATGAGCTTGGAGAAAATCAATTAAGTGAAATAAGCCAGGCACAGAAAGAGAAATACCACATGTTCTCACTCATATGTGGAAGCTAAAAAAATTGATCTCATAGAAGTAGAGAGTACAACGCTGGTTACTGGAGTCTGGTGGGGTGAAGGGGAAGAAGGGATGGGCAGAAGGTCGTCAGTGAACACAAAATACTAGAAAGGAAGAATGGGATCTAGGGTTCTATAGTAATATAAGGAGACTACAGTAACCAACAAAGTACTGTGTATCACTGACAGCCAGTCAAGATGATGTTGAATGATCCTAACACAAAGAAGTGACAAATATTTGAGGTGATGAATATACTAAGCACTCTGATATGATGACAGCACACAGTATGAATGTACCCAAATATCATCTTGCACTCCATGAATACGATAATTATCACAGGACAATTAAGAAAAATCAATTAAAAAGAGAAATAGAGAATAGAATAGTGGTTACCAGAGGCAGGGAACGGGAAGGGGGAGAGGGGCCAGGGAAAGTTTGGCAGACTGGTACAAAGTTACAAAGTTACAGTTAGATAGAAAGAGTAAGTTCTGGTTCCCTAGGGTGACAATAGCTAATAATGTTGTATTGCATATTTCAGGATAGCCAGAAAAGAGGATCTTGAATGTTATAACCACAAAGAAATGATGCATGTTTACGTGACAGATATGCTAACTATTCTGATTAGATCACTATACAAATATATGCATATATTTAAACAACCAACTGTACCCCATAAACATTACAATAAAAAACAATTAAATTTTTTAAAATTTAAAAAATTTTTAAAGTTTTTTAGAATTTCTTTAAATAATTCTTCCTTCTCAAGTCCACTCTTTCCTTCCAACTTTGAACACCTCCACTTTAGATGGGAACATTTGTACCTAGACCACTGCAAGTCTGTCCTCACTGGACTCCTGATTTCTACTCTTCCTTATACCCAACCATCATACACATTGCTGCTAGAATTAATTCTGAAACCAAGGGAGCAAACACAGAAAATAATTTTTTTTTAAAGTTTACCATTTACCATAGTATAAAGGTAAAATACTGCACAATAAAAGGAAAATCCAAATGGCCAATAAACAAATAAAAAGATGCTCAATCTCATTAAAAATCACAGAGATGCAAATTAAAACCATAATGAGATACCACCTTCACCAATAGATTTGCAAAAATTTAGAAGTCTGACCATATCAAGAATTGGCAAGAATACCAAACAAATATACACACCATCGGTGGTGGGAATGAATGCTAGTACACCTATTAGTGAAAAGAGATTGGCATTAACTACTAAGGTTTGAATGGGTACACCTATAACCCAATAATTCAACACTTAGGTACATAATCTAGAATAATTCTTATACATGTGCACTGAAAAACATGTTTAAAATATTCATAGCAGCAGTATTTATGAAACCAAAACACTGGGATAAACTCACTCTTATCAATAATAAAATGGATAAATAAATTGTAACAAATTCATTCAACAAAATACTATAAATGGCCAAAATTATTTTACACCCATCAACACGGATAAATTTAAAAGTATAACACTGAGGAAAAGAAGTAAATCTCAGAAGAACACAAACAATGTATAAGTCCAATAAGTAAAATCCAATATAGGGCTAAACAACACATTGTTTAGAGATACACTTAATAGATAATAAATTTACTAATAAAAGGGAATGACTCACAAAAGTCAAGACAAAGATTACCTTTTGGTGGGTATAATTGAAAGAGGGACACGTGGTGGTTTCTATGATTTTGACAATGTTTTATTTCTTAAGCTGGGTGGTGGATCTATAGGTACTAAATGTATTATTATTCGAACAGTACATATTTTATAAACTCTTATGTATGTATGAAGTATTTTATAATAAAACCAATATGGGAGGTGGATGAGTATGAGAGTAAAGTTAAGAAGTGGAGAATTTTAAGAAGTCTGGCTGCAAAGGCAAGAAAATAAATAAAGAGAATAGGTAACAGGGATACAAGGGGCTGATGAGACCTGGGTGAGTTTAAATACCAATAAAAAGATACCAATGGAGTTGGAGAGGTTGAATATATGGAATAAGAAAAGAATTTATAAAATGAGGTTTCTAAGAAGATGGATAGGGATAAGATTCACAGCACATGTGGGGAAAAAAAAGAATACTTCTCCCACTTTAACTTAAGGGAACAAAACAAGAAGCAAGGTCTTATATGCCCACATCCCCCAACAAACTGTTAATTCCCTTGAAGGCCAAGCATTGTAGCACCTAGAACAATGCTAATGGGCAAAGAAGAGATAGGAGGTAAGGACCACATCAGACAATTTTACACAGCATGCACTGGATTCTCTGAGAAGAGCACATAGGTAATACTCTACAAATATTCAAATCAGCTATTAGCTAAATTCACAAAGACTCAAATCATCTATTTGAAAAGTCCCTATTAAAGTTTCATTCTTTATCAGATAAATTAAAAACAATAAAATCTTAAAAGTCCAACTCCTACTTATTTAAATTAACACTACATATCTTTTAAAAGCTAATTTACTGATATTCTTACTTTGAATATTAAAAATAGGAAAAAAAAATCAACTTTCACTTACTTAATTGAGTTTCTAAAGTGGTCTTCAGCTGGGTTTTTTACAGTGCAACTGTTCAGGAGCCATAAATCTGCATCTGATGCATTTTCTATTAAAGACAATGAATACAAAGAAAAGTAAGCATATTTACTCATTCCAAAATATTCAAGTGTTTACTCAGATGGCACTGGGACTGCTGGGGAAGAAGACAGAAAAGCAGTAGATAAAGTCAAGTAAACAGGCAACCATAATATGGTAGGCAATTGCTATAACATAGAAATATCTGTGAGCAATAAATATAAAAATGTGAAATCTGTGCTTTATCTTTTCAGTTACAATGTAATGAGAATAAGCATTTTCTTCCTTATTAAATAGTACTCCCAAGCATTGAAAATCACTTTCAAAACTTAAAGTGAAACTGGCCTAATCTTACCTCTGAATATAAAATTACTTTTCCCTTTTGAATTATGTGTTAATATTTTCCAAACACAGACACTGGCATATACTGAATATTCCTCAGCTTGAGAAATTATTAGAAATATTTTAATATGCCCTAAAAATTAATAATGTACCTCAAAGTAAGCCTTTCATTCCTATCACCGATTTGATTAAATATTGTTACAAACTATAATAAACTCCCTGGCAATGCAACTAATAATCTAAACCCATCATATTTATTAAAATGAATTTATAAATACCTAAAGTCCTTGATGCTATTCCACCTGCCTTTTAGATACATTAGTTACCTAAAAGGACCTCATATATTAAAATAGGATTACCATTATGAATGGAAAACCAAAATTGAAAATTGCAGCACCTTCAACAGTATTTCAATAAGAACAGAAACCAAAGTCAAATGACATGAAGAACTAAGGAGATATATAGATGTCTGTGGGTACATTCTGCATCTGGAAAGAAAGATTCAAGAAAGAGCATTAGGTTAGAGAGATGATACGTACTTCAGAGTTTCCGGAAAAACTTTTGGCAAAAACTTTTTTTTCTGAAAATTTTGTTATAAAAGATGCTAAAATTTTTTATAAAGAGACAGGATCAAAAAATTCTTGAGACAATAAAAGGCAAGGGAAGCTCCCTATTACTATATATCAGCTGAGAGAGTTTCCGGAAAAACTTTTGGCAAAAACTTTTTTTTCTGAAAATTTTGTTATAAAAGATGGTAAAATTTTTTATAAAGAGACAGGATCAAAAAATTCTTGAGACAATAAAAGGCAAGGGAAGCTCCCTATTACTATATATCAGCTGAGTACTATGATCCCTCCCAATCTGTCTCATTCCTTCCATTCATCTCCCTTACTCCCACCCCACAGTCCATTTTCCCACTCTGCCTGAGTGGCCTTTTATAAAACATAAGTCTGATTATGTCACTTTCCTGCTCAAACTCAGAAAAGATTCACCTAGCTCCTCTTAGTTCCCTCCAAATTACTCCCCCCAATTCCACCTGAAAGATATTCCTCTAATACCAATTTGATCCTAGCACTCTTTCAATCTTCCAGTGATTTCCAGTTGGTATGCAAAGCCTATCCAGATCAAGCCACCTACCTCCCCTACTTTGATACTCATTTCTCCCTGCGTTCACCTGTCCCTCCAGCCATGTCAGCTCCTACACACCCTTTGGTTTCGGTTTGAAGCTTGTTAGACACCTCTTTCCTACACTCCCATAGTAGACTGTGCATAGAATATCCTTGCACTTTACAATTCTGTATTAAAATCATTCATTTTTCCACCCCTTGTTTATTACTATTTAAGCTCCTCTCTCAATATCCAAATCCTAACACAGCGATTGGCACAGAGTAGAAACTCAAATAGCCATGGAACGCTAAACAGTGTGCAAGCAGGCACAGGATGAGAGAAAGATTACAGAGGGATGTGTGGGACCACATTCATATGGCAGCTACACCAACCTCCTAAAGCTCTGAAGGCCTACTAACCTTCTTGAGATAGGCTTCAAGTCACTGATTTATTTAACAAAATTTGGGACTGAAACTTTCACTATTCACAGCTATATCCCCAGCATTTATTACAGTAGAATACAAGGTAGGTATATTAAATGTTTATTGACTGAATGATGAATTTGAAAAGGCAAAGCTATACTATGAGCAATGTATTATATATACAGATAAGAAAAGTCAAGGATGCCTGTAAGCTAATGATTAAAAATAAATGGCAATTGTGGATTTCTATAAAAAGAATTACTGCCTGGAAGCAGGCAAGATACAGAGCATGCCTGGGGTCCTAGGCAGCAGCCAAGGGCAGCCCCCTCCACCCAAAAGCAGGCAAGAAAAAGAGCATGCTCAGGTCCCTAGGCAGGAGCTGAGGGCAGCATTCCCCGCCTGGAAGCAGGCAAGGAGCACACCAAAAATACCATGTCCACACGGGTGGCCCACCACAGTCAGTGTCACAGCCATGACTGCTGCAAAAGTGGCTCAACACCACAGCAGTATCCACAGCCACCTTGCAGGCAGCCTGCCAGACACCCAACTGCATTAACACAAGGAGAGTCACCAGTGGAAACCAGAAAAAAAAGAGGACATCTCTCAAAGCCCACTCAAAGCCCACTCATCCCCTCAAAGCCCACTCCAGAGTAATAGAAGGAACAATTGTTCTACCAGATAAGCAGACATCAATGTAGAGATACTAGAAATACAAAACCCCCCGAAAATATGACACCATCAAAAGAACACAGTAACTCTCAAACACCAAACCCTATAGAGCAGGAAACCCTTGAAATGACTAAAAAGGAGTGCCAAGCAACAATCTTAAGGAAACTCACTGAGATACATGAAGATTCAGACAACATAATGAGAAAAAAAATCCAGGATATGAAGGAGGCCATTTACAAAGAGATTAATACCATAAAAATGAATGTAGCAGAACTCATGGAACTGAAAGATTCACTCGATGAGGTAAGAAACACAACCAAGAGCTTAAGAAGCAGGCTAGAACAAGGAGAAGAAAGAACTTTTGATCTTGAAGATAGTCTTTTCGAAATAATCCAGGTGGACCAAAAAAAAAAGGAAAAAAGAATTTTAAAAATGATGAAAATAAAAGAGAGCTAGCAGACAACCTTAAGCAAACAAACATTCAAATCATAGGTGTTCCAGAAGGGGAGGAGAAAGGAAAAGGCATGGAAAACCTACTCAACAAAATAATAATGGAAAACTTCCCAGGTATAGAGAGAGACATGGACATTCAGATCCAGGAAGCTCAAAGATCCCCAAACAGATTCATTTTAAAAAAATCCTCTCCAAGACACATTAGAGTCAAACTGGCAAAGCTCAAAGACTAAGAGAGAATCTTTAAAAGCAGCAAAAGTGTCAAGTCACCTATAAGGAAGCCTCTACCACACTAACAGCAGACTTCTCAACAAAAACTTTACACGCCAGAAAAAAATGGGTGACATATTCCAAAAACTGCCAGCCAAGAATATTATACCAAGCAAGGATACCCTTCAGAAATGAGAGAGAAATAGTATATTTTCCAGACAAACAAAACCTGCAACAATTCACCACCACACAACCAGCCCTGCAAGAAATCCTCAAGAGAGTTCTGCATCAGGAATCTAAAAAATGATAATCACTCATCTTACTAGCTATAGTTCTGTTCAAACACTCTACTTTTTCATAACTCAGTCTTGGTAGGTGGTGTGTTTCTAGGAATTTATTCATTTCATCTAGATGATCTAATTTGTTGACCCACAATTATTCATAGTATTCTCTTATAATCCTTTTGATTTCTGTAAGTTTGTTTGTAATGACCCTGCTTTCATTTCTGATTTTAGTTATTTGAGTCTTCTCTCTTTTTTCTTAGTCCATCTAGGTAAAGGTTTGTCAATTTTGTGGGTATCATCAAAGTACCAGCTTTTGGTTTCATTGATTTTCTCTTTTTTTTTTTCTATTTCTTTTATCTATGCTCTAATTTTTATTATTCCTTTGCTAGGTCTGAGCTTAGTTTGCTCTTCATTTTCTAGTTTCTTAAGGTGCAAGTTATTGCTTATTTGAGATCTTTCTTTTTTGTTAAAGTATGCATTTATACAAAATAAATTTCCCTTTTAGCAATAAAAACAAATTTAAGAAAAAATACTAATGACAGAACCACTGTGCCAGATGCTGGCTTTGTATCTTGTCACACTCTTCTACTTAATCACCTTAATGTCATTAGACAACTCTTACCATAAGCCCTCTCAAGGAGAACTCCAGCAATATGTAAAGCAACTTATTTTACTTTGCCTGGAATTTTGCCAACACTGGCTTTCAAAATAAACTGAATACTACCCTTGATGATCCAGTAATTGTAATCAACAGGACTCATGTGAATACAAAAATGCCTACAATATTATACAACCTTTTAGCAAACCACCTCCCAAAAGAGAATGTCCCTTTTCCAATAAACATGGGAGTTCTGAAGAGGAAATCTGATTTCAGAAAATAAAAATAAATTTAAAAAGACAAAAGAGCAGGAAAACAAGCGAAGTAATTTCAGGTCAATGATATGAAGACAATAAAAGAGGGTAACGGACAGAAAATAACTGGGGGGTTACTGGGTCAAAATAAGCCTCCCTTTGAAGTTGAAATCTGCGTTGCGACTTAAACTATGGAAAGAATTTGCCATGCAAAGATCAGAAAAGCAAGCATCCTGAGGAGAAGATACCACAAATGCAAAGGCTAAGAAACAGGACCAAACCTGTCATGTTCTAGTAACAGACAGAAGACCAGTGTGAGAGGACACAGGGAGAGCCTGGAGGGAAACATCAAAGAGACAGGCAAGAACTAGAGTATGCTGGCAGGTTAAAAATTTTGGATTTTATTCTTAGTGTAACAGGCATTACCAATAATTTCAAACATGAGCTAATTTCTATTTCAGAAAGCCCAGTCTGGTAGTGCTGTGGACAAGACTGTAAGATGGGGCAAAACTAAAGACAGTGGGAAAAGAAGTAAAGGCAAGAAAGCCAACTGGAAGTTGATGCATTGGTCTGAGAGTAAGTGAAAGACTATGGTAATATGAACTGGCAATGGCAAGACTGAGCAGTGAACTGGGGGCATATTTTGGAGTTAGAGTTCAGAGAACTCACTGATAGATATGAGATAAGCAGGA